GAATTCATTGATCATGCAGCATGAAATAAATGTCTTGAAAGCCCCTTTCCAACTCTGAACTTCTCTGAAAGAGTACTGAATTGTTACTTCATTTATTCACCAAACACTCATTAAGTACCATGTGCAAGTTACGATGGTAGGACTGTGGGGAAATCAAAATGAATGAGAAATGGTCCCTTTTCATGTGGTATACAATCTAAGAAGGCAGATAAAACTATACACAAAAAACTATGACGCAATATAGAATGTGATAGGAATTGTAGTTTAGTTGCTTAATCCCATGTTAGTGAAAACTATGAGGGAAGGCCTTTAGGGAGGATGGAGACTTTGAGATACACCTTCGCAATTTGAAATATCACCAGTGGAACAACTGAGGTGACTTGGGTGACTGTATAGAACTCCCTCTGGTTTGATTTTCATAGTTAAGTATAAGGTCACTTTTTACTGCTGAAAGGATTAGGAAGGTAGTCATCTATATTTCTCTAAACACTTTTCCTTATGAACATCAAAACAATTTAAAAGATTTGTTTCTAGCTGTTACAAAAAGTAAGATCAAGATTCTGCACCCAGGACTAATTACTGAATTATGATACCAATTTAATCACACTGACTTGTTATATAATGTGAGAAAGTCAAATTAGGACATATGTATAATGCCCTTCTGTGCTTGACTGCAACAGCTTTTTATGGCCCTAGAAATGCATTAAATTTGCCAAGTTAACAACAATGGTGGTTGAAATCTACATAGTTTGAAATACATAACTTAATTTGTTTAAAAAAAAAGATTCATCCTCTTAATTTCAAAGTCCTTCTTGTACTGTGGTGTACTAGTATTTTAAATAAACTAGTAGCCTTCATATCATGAATACATCCCTGTGGTAGCCTGGCCTGGTAGAAGACTTTTGCTGACAGGACAATTGTCAAACTCAAGAGAGACATACACATGTCTAAGACACTGTAGTACCACTAGCATTCCAAAGTATGCCCTTCAAGTAAATGATGGAAACTTTAATAAGAACAGGTAACAGAACAGGAGAAATGTGTATAGTGTGGCTGGCATGATTCCATTCATTCCTGTCAAGGATGGCAGAGCCTATTTGTCAACTCTAAAGGTTCTAACACATTTTTGCTTGCAAAGTCACATCAGGAGGCTCTTCTAGGACTGCCAATACAAAGCTGGTAAATCAGTCACTCATTCCAAAATGATTTTGAAAGAGATACTGGCTACTCAGCATATGCATTCTATTAGATGTTGGGAGGGAAAGAGTGAACTTGGAACAATGAAGGAGACCATATAAGTGGGTAAGGGATTTACATAATAAAAGGGAGATAAACTGCTTTGAAAATCTGCAGGATTCATTTCAGATTCCTCTCACCCATGACAACAATGTCATGAATTATTTTTTACTATTGAGAAAATGCATTAGCAAAACATCCAGTAATATGTTTAGACATTAAGTAAATGGATTTGTTTACATAATCAATGCAACTATAAAAGCACTGCTAATTGAAAAATGATAATGCATGGTATAATTATCAAAGAATTATCATGTAATTTATTTTTTAATTTGCATTGGTGTAAAAAAAAAATCAATTCATGATGTTCCAGGTTATGTCATTAAAATTCTGTCCAGGGACACAACATAAGTATAGATTAAGTAAGTCTGTATCACATGCCAACAGCACAGTAATTCAGTCAGAAATCTATTAACAGTAGGACTCATACTCAAAATTTGTGTGGTTATTTTATATTGTGACAAACAAGCCAAACATGGACAAAGTTAGAATATTAACTCAAGGTCCTATAAACACCTTTAACATCAGAAAATAAATAAAACTTCCAAGTTCCTTATTACAAAGGACAACATATTTACATCCTATTATAAATGTTAAACTCACTTAAATTTCAACACACTGATGTATTCTGTAAATATCAGTGAATATATAACACTAGAATACCCTGATAATTCTATGAAAAAAAAATGCTATATTTGTTATTGAATATGTGACTTAGTCCACAATACAAAAATCTGTGGATGAATATTTAGCAGTTGGATAAACAAATTAGTGTCATTTTCAAATACTTATAACAATCTTTACTCAAACCAACATTAATTACCATATAAATTCTATTAAAAGGCACAAAGTTAAAAAGATTAAAAATTATGGAAATTTATAGCTACATGATGAACCCACTAAGCTCTCAAATAATCTGCCAAAATAAAAAACCTGATACCAGATAAACTATGATGTAATTTTTGGGGGGAGTGAAGATTCTTTATAGCTGCTAAAAATAAGTGAGCCTGTAATTTTTAAAGTTTCTTTCTGAGATATTAAAATTGAACATTAAAAATAAAATGAATTTATTAAAAAAACCCTAAGTTTTGTTGTCAAGATACAAATTAATATTATAATATCAATTAAGTTTATACAGAAAAGAGACAAGTTGGGAGCAAAGCTTCAAAGACTGTGTTCAATAAAAATTAGTTGATGGTACTATAAAAATATATGGTAGTAATTATACCTTTTGCTTAATCCAACCTTAAGTGATACTTATTAACAGAACAGCTTTATTCAGAGCCAGCCACCTGTTTGATGACATCTTTCAAAGCTTTACTAAGATGGAAATCTCATAAGCATAAAATATAGTAATAATGTGATTTCACTGAGGTTTTGTTTTTGTTGTAACTAATGAAATCAATGAATAAAGTCAGAAGGAACTCAGAGAATGACTTGGCTCAATATTCATTTAACAGAGGAAGAAACTGAGGAGAAGAGAGATTAAGTCATTTGCCTAAAGTTACAAAGTTAACTAATGGTAGAAGAGGACTAGATTCCAAGTCTTTCCTACTACACCAAGCTACCATTCTAAGGGGATACTGTAGACAAGAGTGCAGGTTCTTCTGTAGTATAACGTGAACTCATCATGACATGCTAAGACCATTTTGAAGGACTCTCGACAACTTATTAAAAAAAAATCTTTCAAACCTGTGTTTCTAGTAGGTGTGGGCGAAGTTTAACGATGACAAAACATGATTCAGTTTATCTCTAGCTATACCTGCTGAACACTGATTTAGGAAGCCAGAATATGGGAGAGAAAAGAATCTGAAATTTTAGAAAGCTTAAGTGGTTAACCAGTTGAGTACCTACATGTGATTTATAAGCACCCTTATACTGAAATCATCCCTTTCTCACTGGGCGGGGAAGCTTAACCTAGGTTAAGCTCTTCTAACCCTTACTTACCTGTCTGTCCCATTTTAGCATTTGGAAATTTGCATATGCCTAAACACATACAACAAATCATGAAATTTTTTGTTCCCGTATTTCATGGGAAGTGGTGGCAGGAGTACAGTGGAAAGTAGGAATGGTTAAACATCTCATTTTCCTCAATCTGGTGAGTGGGGGGGGAAAACCCACTGGTACAAAGTGAGCAGGACCTCAATTTTAACTCCTCAAACCAGCTATACTCTCAAGGCTTTTCAGAGAGTCAACTTTGAGTGTTCACGTGCAACACAAATGTATTTATTTTTTAACCCATTTCCTTTAATAAACAGGGCTTTGATGAAAGCTAGACACAAAAGTATAATTTTATCTTTACACACATCCCTCTAAGTCTTTTCTAACAAAATTATTTTCCACGTACACTTAGAGGCACTGTTAGTGACAGTGCACACAACTAAGGGGGGAACCGTTTTCTGACTTTGAACCAATTTTCCTATTAAGAGCTACATACCATGAACTTTATGCCAGAGATTTCTAATCTGGAGGTTGTATTTAGTAACTAGAGAAGGGACCTTTATAAAATTATTCTGGGATCCCAACTATGTTATAAGACAATAACACCTCAGAAGTTATCCTAGTTACAAAATATGACTTTCTTAGTTCTATTCCTAATTGTGAAAATTGCAACAAAAATAAAAGATCTCTGATTGCTAACAAATGTAACCATGGGATGGGTAGGACTGTGACATTTAAAAACACGGAAATGGATTTAAAAAAAATACCATTATGTGCTTCTCCACACTAATTCTACAAATCCATTCCACCTTAATGACTAATCAATTCTTTTTTGTTTAACTTTGTCCTAAGAGGTATTTCTGCTGAAATTAATATTAATGTGAATGAATGAATTCTATAAAAAAAGAATCAAAATTAGAAGGAAAAAAGACCTATTCACAATAAGAGATATTACTATCATGAGACAGTAATACCTAATATACTGATTTAATAAGCATCAACCCTGACGCAAAAAATCCCAAAGGCAGCAAGTTATAGTGGAAAGAGCTCTGGGTTAGGACTTAGAATAAGCAGCACTGAATTCTAGTCCTGGCTCTGCCACTAACTACCCTTAGAACCTAAGCAAATCATCTCAACTCTTAGAACCTCAGTTTCCCCATCTATAAAATGAAGGGTTTGGACTAGATTGGAGCTTCTGTCACACACTGTGGCTTCACTGCAGCCCACAACACTCCCAAGTGAGGCCTGAACAAGATTAAAATATAATTGGGACAATTAAATTAAATTAAATTAAAATTTAAAAAAAAATCAAAAATGTTAATATGTGGTTTTCTAAGTCAATATGCAGCCCACAAAGATCCATATGTACAGTTTAGTGGTCTGCTTTTCTATTTTGAGTTCGATACCACTGGATGAAATGATCCCTTAACATCCCTTCCGGCTCTGAAATAATATAATTTATACTACAAGTAACCTGAGTTATCTAAAATGTTTCATTTCTTTTAGCCCTGCATTAGGGCTTTTTATATGATCCAGGGTGGTCCAAAGAACCTCCAGTAATTACAGGTTAAGTTCATCATAACTCAGGGGAGCAAGTTTATGCTTTCAATTAGGTTTAATAAAAATTAAATATTTAAGTTTCCACAATTAGCACTTAATAGTGTGCCCAGCATTTTTATCTTGTCCATAAATATACCAGATATATCTACTGTTGATCTATAAATCCCTTTAAAGATTAACTTAGAACATTAAGACAAGGAAACTACACCTCCGGGAACATGTTTATTGTGTTCGAGATGATACATTAGGTGCTCGCTCTCTGAGCTACAAAGGGTAAAAGGAAATCCTTTCATTACAAACTGACAAAGGTAAAAGGTAAAACATTTTCCACAACAGCATGTACCACATAATTGGAAATAGATCTGGGTTTAATACAAATGACATAATTTCTAGTCATCTACAAGCTACTTTAATAACTTCATACAGATTATGAATTAGGCTAAAATGCACTATAATATTTGGTAGACTTCAGGAACAGTATCCTTAGTACATCACAAAATACATTTTGATATCCCAAAGAAGCAAGACTTGCAAGTAGGCATTTTAAACATAACTAATCTACAGCTACAAAGTTCTACTCGTGATAGCATTTACCTTTTTGGGCAGTCTCCCAGTCTTCAAAGGATAAAAGCAGAGAGTAGAATCAGTATAACATATACACAGAAGTCCGTATTGTAAAGGCTATAAAGATTTGCTGCACAGTGTAAAGAGGCCTCCTGCTTCTTCGCACTGAGCAAAAAAGACGCCATTTATGTTGCATATCTCTTGGTCCACTGTCTGGCTATCCTGTCATGTTCTGCTCTGTTGGTCAAATACTGAGTGGCTATGCTTCCCACCAGAGGATCAGCTGTAAAAAGGGAAGAAAGATTAGAAAATATTTTATCAGGTCTTTAGTGACCAGTATACCATTCTCTCACACATGAGGCTGTATTTTCCAGTAGCTACTTGACAGAATAACAAAAGCATCTTTTTTTCAAAGACCAAAAAAAAGATGAAATTGTCATTTGATTGGCTATTTATACCTCAAAATCCACCCACCCCACTCTCTGCCAAAAAGAGAAAAAAATCCTCATTAAGGAGTATCAGGGAAAAGGTTTCATTAACAGGCCTATTTTTGTCTCATAAGACTAACACTATGATGTTATTAATAATAACAATATTTTATGATCTGACTTCATATTCACCTTCTACAATCAAAGAATATCAGGCATTTCCATCCTCTGAGATGAACATTTATTTTTTGCCATTTTGTTTCAAGGGCCCTACATGGAGCATAAGGTTATCTCCTATGATTTAGTAGGTTATCAATTTCAACTATGTTAGTTAAGGGCTTTGATAATTATGATGCAACAAATTAAATGCCAAGTAGTTCAGCTAAAACAAAAACACTTCAACAGATGTATAACTATCTTTATAAAACAAACAAAAACCAGGTGTGATAGCTATGTACATTTATGCATGTAAAAACCTTTTTAATGTAACAGTGTTATCCAGAAACTCCTGACATAATGTGGTCTCTTATCAGAATAACCAAATCATAGATTTTAAAGCTTCAAAGGGCCTTACCTTAGAAATTGTCTAGTCCAATTCCCTCACTAGCAGCAATTACTTTTATGTGCAGATTCAGTGTAATATACAATTGACTACTTCTACCAAGAAAAACAATGGAAAACCTCCTCCATGCAGGGACCCTGCTTTAGTCCTCTCAAAAGGGAGGAGAATAACAGGCAATGAAGACCAATACATTATGGGAAAGAACAACACTCCACATATTAATGGAATTTTTTTTTAAATGCTGGCAAACAACTGAACTAAAAATGAAATTTATACTAATGTCTTCTCATGATTTCTTCTACTCATCAGCAGCTGCTTAATTTTCATTCCACATTTCAGATGACTGGGGAAAGACACAGAGTTTGGTGGTCTGGATAAATATTACTTTATGCTCCTTAGGATTTGCTTACCAGGGTTGCAATCTGTCAAGAGGGAACAAATAGACAGCAAAACCTTTGAAATGGTCAGAGCAGGGCTCCAGTTGTCTTTAAGGATATCCAGACAGATGACCCCCTGACTGTTGATGTTGCAGTGATAAATTCTGGTACGGAAAGTAACCTAAAGGTAGTCAACAGTGAAAACGGAATAAAAATTCATCCTGTGTAATAGAAACCTTAAACTCTCAATTATCAGCAGTCATAAAGCAAAGTGTTATCACAGAGATTTTAAAATAACAAACAGAAAATTCACCTGGGGATTCCTTTCTCCATATGGAGCAACTGTTTACGTTACACTAGAAACACATGGTTTATTTGGTTAATTCGGTCAACATGACTGATCTAAGCAGCCCCTCATAGAGAGCATTTTAAAATAAACGACAGAGGAAAGACTAAATAGAGGCATGGAGCTGAAACGGTATATTTAAAAAGTTGGGAGGATAAATGGGGACAACCCAAGACACTCTGCTTACCCTTCATGTATGCTTATCCCTTACTATCTCCTTTTAAATTCCCTCATGTTGTACTGAAAGACCATAATCAGAGTTCTAGGAAGGCAACACAATTTTCTTGATTAACAACACCTGTCTTACCTAAAAAAGTCTGCTGCCAGGTAGGTCTTCCAGTAGCAAAAAGCATCATCAACTGTGTCAACTCTTGTCACAATGAAAAACTTATCAAAAAGTAAGATAGTGGAGTTTGGAGGAATGGTTCTAGAAATGGTCACTTGGGCCTTCTCCTCCACTTCCATTACCCCATCTGCATTCTCTCAGATGGCTCTCTCTCATATTAGACTGATAGAGAATGAAGAGCAAATACAGCTGTAGAAATGAGGCAGAGGCAGCCTCTATAAGACAAAGAAGCATCCTTTGAGAGTGAGGGAATAGGAAAAAGAGGGAAGAGGGAAGCCACAGGAAGAGGTAGTAGGATGGGTGAGAGGTAGACTTCTGAGAATGTGGATTATCTACGTGCAGAGTATTAAAAACTGACTACAAACGATGATGTAAGTGGAAAGCATCATTAATCTTGGTTTAAGCAAGGCTTAATTAGAATATCTATTTGGTAATTTGTCAAAGTCCTTCCAACAACCAATAATCAATTAATAACTATTAACTTGTGTTCCTGAAGCAGTTAAGACAGCTCACTGAGTAGAGCACTGGGCCTGGAGTCAGGAAGACCCAAGTTCAAATTCAGCCTTAGATATAAGCTACTCTATTTGCCTTAATCCACTGGAGAAGGAAATAGCAAACCACTCTACTATCTTTAACAAGAAAACCCAATAGACAGTATGGTCCATGAAGTCAATGAGGTCAATGAAGAGTTGGACACAACTGAACAACAAAAATGTTCCTGAGTGATAAAAAGAGAATGATATTTACATTATTTCTGAGGAAATTCCAATACCTTGCTTGAACTTAGATATGCATTAGAATTCAGCAAGGGAGAAAAATGATGCTATCTGATATACAAGAGGACACAGGATAAGCAAGAATTACATTAAGCTTTCATCTGCCAGATCAAACTGTCAGAAACTCTCACTTAAAATAAAGAGGAATTTTACCAAGGGGATTACAGCGACTTAGTAAAAGTATGAGGGGAAAAATGACTATTCTTTAAACAACCAAAAAAAAAAGAGAGCCCTTAATAAAAAGTGGTAGTGATGATATATGTGGTAGGACCTACATAAAATGTACAAAAAAATAAGAGGATTGTAACAATTGAGAACTGGAAAGGTCCCTCAGAGACCGTCTTGTCCATCCTCCTCATTTTACAGATGGGGAAAGTGAAGCCCAGAAAGGCTAATATCTTGCCAAAATTCATACAGGTAACATCAGTCAGGATTCTATCTGCTGTACTATATATTACTATACTTAGTGTCTTGATTTGGTACTATAATTTTTGGGGGGAGGGAGGGGAAACCTAAGGGGGATGAAATACAAAGCATTTTTTGAACTCTGAATGAAGGAATCATTCCTTTCAGCAAAGTGTTTTTCTTTCTCACTTGTAGGATTTTGTTCAGCAAGAAATTGTTTATTGACCTTTCAACATCAATAACTCAATTTCTACTTGAAGAAGCTGAGCATGTAGAAATAAATGTCAATAATCCAGTATACTCATAGGCTTATTTTCTTAAGGTCTGCCTTATTTTATACAGTATAGTACATTTATATTGCTCTACTTTTGAAGGCTAATGGGCTGAATGAAAGCAGTTACCATTTTGGGTTTTCAATCAATTGGAGTTTTTACTCATATGAGACTAGATTTGTTCTGTAAGGTTGAATCTTCCAGGCACACTGATAGGGACTTGCTAGGACCCCAGGAACCTTGTGAGCAGTCCTCAGTGGTGTTAATTTTGTTTTTAGATAGCAGAGACTCATTTCTTCCCCTACACTAACTTCACCATACTCAAAAATAAACTATATTTGAAAAATAACGAGGAACACATAGTCTCTATACAAATGTTAATTATGAGAGAAGCATGATAAGGAATAAATATTTAAAAGAAATAAATGTCAAGGTATCTGCCTTTGTATCACCTCTTAACAATGGTACTGACTTTAAATTAGGTTTCTTCCCCTGGAGTCTTTAGCTGACAAATCACAGATCTAAACCCAGAAGGAACCTCCTTTTCTCCAGCCTTCCACTCTTTGAAGCCTCGGGGACTGTTCGTACTCAGGCACCACTCTGGAAGTTTTTACCTTCCGGCTTGCCTGTTTGGGGTCTGGAAGTGTTAGAGCTCTGTATATTGGTTAGGTACAAACTAAACTCCATATGTTTTTCCTTCTACGTGAAAATGGTTCAAAGCTATTTCCTACCCTTTGTCTACTTAACCCCTAAAATTCAGATGGATATTGATTTCATAGTCAATGAGGTAGTGTGAAAGCTTTTCCTACGACAATATTTTGCTTAAGATAGAAAACATGCTTATGACTCCATATATATATATATATATATGTGTGTGTGTGTGTGTTTGTTCTGAGTTTTCTTATTATGTGCTCTCTCTACTAGATTATAAGATTTTTGAAGGCAGGGACCCATTTATCTTTGTGTCTTTCTCAGCACCAGGCAGAATGACTTGATCCTGGTTTGCTAGATGGATGAATAATGAATGAAGAATGCAGTTCTGAGGAATAAATATATGATTACAGTGGTTTGCCAACTTCTTTGTTTCTGTCAGTCATGTCTGCTTCCTTCCTCCAACCCATTTTTAAGCTTAATAAATACTGGCTGCCTGAATGATTTCCTCAGTTTCTATATAGTTCCCTTAAAATACCATCATACAAAACTCACATTAATCAAATTATTCCATCTATGTCATTTTGAAATACCTCTTTTTCTTTTAAATGACGAGTGGGCAAATATTAAAAAGACCCTTACCTTTGGTGGCTTAAACGGATAATCTGATGAAAATGTGATATCCAGAGAAAAAACACACCACCCTCATACACAGAGCCTGGTGGTCCAAGTATAGTTGATCTCCATTCATAAATGTTATCTCCTTTAGGCCCAGCACTATCAAGAAGAAAGAAAGAAAAAAAAAAGGTATATCAGTAAGCAATATTTTAAATGTACTCTCATACATTTAGGGTAAATTGGCATTTTGGAGGGGTAAAAAAGCCTAGATTTCGCTAAAAGAAGTAAATTTGTTATTCTCTGACACCCTGTGTTTCTCAACAACATCCTTCTATTCAAAATGACTGTAACTGAAATCCAATCATATTTTTATATTGTTCATGATGCTTGATAGATGAATACCAATTGCTAAAGGATATTGGAGTTAATATAACTGAAATCACTGATTATCACCCACATTTTCCTAGTGATCTTTAAATTACTCATTAAATCACTTACTTCCTGAGCATGGGTACATATTATGTGTGATCTTTGGGATCATGGATCACTTAAAAGCAGAAAGGAATTTTAAAGATCAGCTGGTCCAACTTCCCCATCTTTTCCAGAGATATGGAAACTGAGGCTCACAGACATAAAGCAATTGTCTGAGTTCATATTAAGTGTAGTATAAGGTGCATACTTGATTTTAAAATAAGTGATGTCAACCATGATATATTAAGCCACATTAATAACTATCGGCTCAAAGGCAAAAGATTTTTTAAAAAATTAGACCAGTATCAAAATCACGTGTCTTCACGTTGATTTATTTTTAACAAAAATGTAAAATGCAAATTACGTCTTGGGTTTGTAGGGGAGGGATAGTACTTATATTGAGATGAGGAAAGAAGGGTGTTGAATATTTTGTGGTACGATTATCTCCAAGTATATACACACTCATATCTTGAGTAACTGGATAGAGGACAGCTTGAACTGTAAATATTTAAGAAAAAAGTTTTTTTTAAAATTTCAATGTCTACATTAACTAGTACTAACTACAAGTTCTTAGCCAAACAGCACCATTAGAAGTTAAGTGTTCTGCATAAGTAAATTTTCCAGAAAACAGAAACTTAAAACCCATTTAAGCCTCAAGATTTTTAAAAAATAAACTGACTGAAATTTTGAAGGAAAAAAACCACACATACTTCTATGCCTTCTTAAGCAGAGCAGTAAGAACACAAATTAGCTGGGGGTTTTTTTTCCCCTTGACGAAGGGTCTTCATTACGAACACAAATTATCTTATTGTACTGTAAATAAAGTGATACCCTCAGGGACTTCTGAGGTATCTAGGGATTTCTCCATTGAAAATCTTAGCTTCCTACAGCTATGCCTTTACAACAGCAATTCACTGAATCACAGGAACAAGACTAGATGGGACATTAAAAGTCAATTAATTCAATACCCTCATTTTACAAGTGAGGGAATTGAGGTCCAAGTAGGTTGAATGACTTACTTAAGACCACACAAGAAGTTAATGTCAAAGGTGAGATTTGAATCCAGGTCCTCTGACTCCTGAACCAGTAATTCTTCCATTATACCATGCTGCCTGACTATATATTCCCTTTGCAATCAAGCTATAATTATTTGCTACTGTTAACAAACTACTAGTTAGCTACTGTTATCCCGATTGATTATACAGAAGGACCCAAGTGTGGTTTCACCTTTCCTACAAAACACTGCCTATAAGCTTTATAGTTTCTGTTCAGTGGCCATTTTTGCTCACTTTTGAGTTCACAGTTGTGTTTGAATCTTTAAGGCTGCCAGAAGGAAAGTGGTTTGTTACAGTATAGCAAGCTGTTGACAAGTCTAAATTCTGCCAGGACTAATTTTAATGAAAACACACACACACACACACACACACACACACACACACACACACACACACACACACTCTCACTCACTCACTCACTCTCTACAGGTTTTAAAAATAATTTGCTCTCTTGGGCAATTAAACAAGCTTCCTTCAAGCTTGACTGCAATATTAATTTACTTGGTACATGATTTCTTCATTGACGATGAAAAAGCAAACCATACTAATTCAGGACATACAATCATAGTTTTGCTTTTTTTTTTTTTAAATTGCAAAGGGTCTCTAAGGGTCTCTAGTCTAAGCCACTCATTTTAGAGAAGGAATGTAAAATGATACACCCAGGGTCTAACTGTAATAAATAGGCTGGGATTTGAACTCATATGGATGAAATCCAGCACTCCCTCCTATATACCAGAGTAGTGGAATAAAATGAACCCAGTTTTGCTTACGAAAATATCAACATAGTATCAATGAGAAAAAAAATCATTACTTGTCATCCCCCTTATATTTCCATTATTTGTTTGAAACCAAAGTATTTTGTGAATGGAATATCATTATTCTTCCACTTCTTCCCTTCTCTGCCAAATGTGATTCTTATCAGTCTTAAGTTTTTCTTATCTACTTTAAGCTGCTTTTAAATTCCATTTATATCTTCTATAACTTACGTAACTAATAAAAAAAAAAGCAGGTAAATAAAGTGTCAAAAACAGGGACAAACTTGAACTCAGGAATTTTCAGTAAACAGCTGCTCTTACTGTTGAACGGTGACATTATTTGAAGCACTAACAGCATGATGACTAATGTCTTAGTGTAATCCATTTTCTCACTGCTTGAATACCAATTGCTAATTATTCTTTGCCAGGGATCATAAACACTATTTATTTCTAACAGAGGCAACTACCACAAAAACTTTTAAGCATTAAATTTATTGGAAGCAGCAATGATGAAGTGGAAAGACTAGTTTTTCTAAGCAGAAGGCCTGGGTTTAAATCCCAAGTCACTTACTAGCTATGAGATCTTGCGCAAGTTAAAACATTTCTGTGTGGGGCAGCTAGGTGGTGCAGGGGATAGAGCACCGGCCCTGAAGTCAGGAGGACCCGAGTTAAAATCCGGCCTCAGACAAAACACTTGACACTTACTGTGTGACCCTGGGCAAGTCACTTAGCCCCAACGGCCCCCCCCAAAAAAAAATTTCTGTGGCTCAGTTTTCTCATTTATAAAATGGGGATAAGATTGTTCTGATGATCAAATGAGATAATAGCGGCAAAATACTCTGTCAACCACCAAGCTATGTAAAAACCAGCTATTATCATTATTAATTCTATCTACAAAGACAACTCATTTTTCCCCTTCTAGACTTCCTAACTTACCAACTTTTTGCTGTGATGTTGAGCCAAATGTAAAGGTTACCCATTGACTATTTTATTCTTCTCCCCATGAAAAATAAACTCATAAAAAACGGGTAGATACACTAATGTACTTATTCGTGCTATTCTGAATTGGTCTAGCCACTCTACAAAACATTTTGGAACTATGCCCAACATCATTAAACTGCATCCCCATTTACCCAGCAATCCACTACTAGCTATATACTCCAAAATTATCAAAGAGATAGATAGGAAAATATATTAGCTTCTTTGTACTATCAAAACATGTGGATACAAAATGGGTGACCATCTATTAGGAAATTGCTAAACATATGTTATATGAATGTTATAAGATATCATTGTGCCATAAGAAATGATGAAATAAATGGTTTTGATGAAATTGATCTGGGATGACTTACATGAACTGATGATGAATAAAGTGACCAGAACCAAGAGAACCGCTGATATGCAGTAACTTTATATTAAAAAAACCCAAAAAACAAAAAACAAAAAACAACAACTTTGAAAAGACCTTGAAAACTCTGATCAATACAGGTTACAATTCCAGAGGTTCAAAGAGAGGTAACAGGACTCAATGCAGAATGAGAACCATGTTTTTGGACACAGCCAATGAATTATTTTGTTTGACTATGCATATTTTATTACAAGGGTTTTCCTTTTCTTTTGTTTTTGTTTAATTGGGGATGAGGAATAAAAAAAAAGGGAAAATGAAAATGCTTGTTAATTGAAAAAAATTAAATAGGTTGGATTGCACTATAGCAGAACAAATAAGATATAAAATTTTGAAATCAGTTACTTCTCTCACATAATGACAGATTTTTCCTTTCTTACTGATAAAAGTCAGTGAATATTCCAATCTTCCTACCATTATATAGGTAATGTATTGCAAACACAAAGACTTCACCACAACATTAGTTTTACTCCACATGGACAGTAAAAGTTTACTAATATGGGGAATAAACTAATGTCTTATACTGACATAAGATTCTTAGATCTTAAATATCTTACTTAGATTTTAATTTTAAAGACTAGAGTTAATTTTAAAAGATCAGTACAACATTGGTAAAAATCACTTTTTCCAACAGCCCAGTCTGACCACTATTCAAATCTTTTCTACTGGGTCATTCATTATTGTCTTCCCACTCACTAAGGGTGGGTATCCTCCCAAGGCTCTGAATTAATTCCTTTCCACACCCTTTCCTATATTAAAACTAAGGTTTCAATTATTATCTTTATACAAAAGATACATAAATCAATATAGTTAGCCCTAAATCTATTCTGAACTCTAGTCCCTTGTTTACAGCCCCCTCTTCCAATCTTCATCATTTCTATTTTCCTTCATCCTTCCATGCTTATAGGTTCACAAGCTTGGAGTTATGCATTTTCTCTTTCTGGACCTCTAAAACCCAATCAGTTGTATCTTTTCGATCATTCTGCCTCCATATTATCTCTCCCATCACCCCTTCTCTCCACTCAAACAGCCTCTACACCCTATTTATGGCCTTCATCACCCTGGCTTCAAGTACCTGCTAAGATTCCACTTTTTACAGGAAGCCATTACCAATCCCTCTAAATTCTATAGGGTCTTCCCTTCCTGGTTATTTTCTATTTATCTTGCATATAGTTTGTTTTGTACACACACAGTTGTTTGCATTGTTGTCTCCCCCATTAGATGTGACTTTTTCAAGACCACAGACTGTCTCTTGTCCTTTCTGGTATCCTTGGTGCTTAGCACACTGCCTGGCACATAGTAGGAACTTAACAAATGCTTGCTGAATCACTTTCGGCCCCTTCCCTGGATTACACTCCTTCCTCTCCTGTCTTCCAAGCACAGCCAGGTGTTACTACCTCTTGAGAGCTTTCTTTCCTAATCTTCTCCCTGCCTCGTCAGACCTCTCTCCCTGTGAAATTTACTACTGATACC